TGGCGCCTGCGACGCGGGGACGTCAGCCGCTTGGCTCACCGGGGAATTAGACAGAAAATACTTGGATGTTCGGTCAAGTTACTGGCTAGCCTATTAGCCACCTGGGGTATATCCTTCTTATGAGAGAGTTGGGCAGGTTCAAGTCGGTTCTAACCGAGGCTAACCACTTACTTACTTTGCCGAGCACCCACAAGATTCTGTAGTTATAAAATAGATTTTGACAAGACCCCCTTTTCGGGCGGAGGAAATAGACAAGAGTGGATTGGCCCCCAAAACAGTGGCCCTGCAGAAAAGGTCTTGCTAAAAGCATTAAAATGAACAGGAACTCGGGGAATTAGGGGATCAGTATGCCCTCGTCAATAGGTAGACACCTATGTCTTTCCGCCATGGAAAACACCAACTCCTGCCCAGTTAGAGGCACATCATGTTACATATTTTGAAACCTGCCCCAACGCTGGTATGTCAACAAAGAAACACATCTTCTTCACAGCCCCATAAACAGCACCAAAAAAGCTGAGGCTTCAATCAGACAACAAATCATGTACATACCAAGAATCGTAAAGCAGCACCAACATCCTTGAGTGGGGTAAACAATTGTCCGTGGAGTCTTGCATGCCTCCAAGCGGAATCCCAAAGTTCAATGAAAAAGCATGTTTCAAAGTGCCTGGAGCCTCCATGACCCTTAAACGATCGGCCCATACTGTGGACCCATTTGCAAACCATTCGCAACCATTTGCAGGTATTTACGGGGAATCGAATCTGAAATCCGGGATTCTGAAAGGTGGTGCGTTGGGTGGGGTTCGTGCCATCCACAGTATGACCCAATGGTCTGTGGGAGTTTGATGGTAACCCACCCCTCCGCCAGGGAACCCCCAATTTGACCAACCTAATTATGACCGTGTTTGTGGGTGGTTGATGCTTTTGACCAAGATCTGCCATGGTTCCGCACCCTTGGGTGACCCGCTGGGGTCATTTCAATCAGCCTGTTGGGGAGGCCTTACATGTCTGAGGCGGATTTCGCTGCTTGTAAGGAAGTGTTGCTTTGGAAGGCTGCTACCTTTTGTAGAGAGGGATCCCACGCACCAAGTCAGTCGCATGTGCCGTGAGGTCCTAAAAACCGGTTCGGGGTCACAGGCCCGAGCCTGCTGACATGCCTTTCAAGTCATTGGCCATACTGTAGATGGACAAAATCCCTTCGCACCACTTATCCATGTCCGCCTTGAAACCATGGTTGGAACCAGAAGGTTTGTTGGTATTTTTTGGGGGAACCAGAAACCAAGCGTTCTTTACAGGTGCGACAAGGTTTTTTCTGGAAGAATCATCCGAAACCAGGGGTTCTCAACTGGTGCGACTTGGATTTCGTCCAGGGGACCTGCGGGGCAGGGTCTCTCTGGAAGTCGCTTAGAGCAAAGGTGTCCGCCGAACATGCAAGCAATAACCACGGAGAGCAAAAGGGCGAAACATGTGTATATATATATATATCTACCTATATATATATATATTAGAAAGTCGCAAAAGAGTTCTGGGGAATGAGGCCTTGAAGACTCATGGATGACAGACTATGAAGGCCGGGCCAACAGTTTAAAGCAGCCAAACACGGCCCAGCAAGCATTCTTGGGTGTTCGGCCAAGCAAGTTGTTGGCAAACTAGGTTACCCTAAGGATCCCAACTCTTTTCGGGGCGTCGTTTTGCATCGGGCCCTCAGGGACAGAATGGCGAGGGGCCATAGAAACACGACCCCTCGTAGCGAGGGCCCCGGCTGCTCCGGGTCTGCAACCACTATCGATCATTCAATAACAATCGCTTTTATTGGCCCGCACACCGTCCTGGCCGGCAAACAAAAGATTCAGTTGCCACGGACAAGTCGGTAAGCCCAAGCATGTCCTGGCAAACACAGATCTCGGACGGCTTTCCGACATCTGCTTTCCGACGGCGTTCTCACTCATGCTGGCATTCCGCGGTTTCTGAAAACTGTCCGACGGCTTTCCGACGGCTTCCCGGCGTTTCTGATGGCTTCCCGACGCTTCCGACGGCTTCCCGACGTCTTCCTGACGTTTCCGACGGCTTCCCGACGTTTCCGACGGCTTCCCGACGTTTCCGACGGCTCCCTGATCTTTCCGACGGCTTCCCGACGTTTCCGATGGCTTCCCGACGTTTCCGACGGCTTCCTGATCTTTCCGACGGCTTCCCGACGTTTCGTTTCCGACGGCTTCCCGACGTTTCCGACGGCTTTCCGACGCTCGGGCCCTCGCGGGCCCTCGGTTTGCCTAGTTTTGAGGGCCCAAGCGTTAGCTTCCCGACGTGTTTCCGACGCCAGACCTTGACGCGTGCCGTTCTAATCGGCACTCAACTGGCCCATGAATACAAACTGTGACTTTACGCCATTGCAAGCCAATAGCAGCGACAGCGCGTAACCAAAGGAATTTTGCAGGGCTCATGGGCCTGTCAGACACACGCACAAACAAGCAAAGTCAGCAACCTTTTGGCAAACACGGGATAACACGGGACTCCTGCCAAGAAGCTGTGAAATACCAAGCAAGTGAAGACACATCACCAGCCCACAAGTACATCCGAAACAACAGGTAACGCGTTAGCGATAACACTGTGGACTCAAGCCGCCCAGCCTTCACCCATAGCGCCTGGCCTTTTTTTACAATTATCTGAAAAACGGATTTTTGTTCTGCGCAGGGGTGTCGTTGCGGCCAGTGGCCAGTTGGGTTTCAGACCTTGTCGCGTGCGCTCAAAACGGGTCTGGGCCCCCGGGGCGTCGAACTGTGAACTGCCAGAGCCCCGGAACGTCGTCAGCAGGGTATTTAGGCCGGACCCTTTCAATGCACATCCCGACCCTTCCAATGCACATACCAAAGAGCCTTAGGGTATAACACACTTCTAAGTCCCCTGGGATTAAGTGGCCAGCCACTAACTGACTTGGCGGAACATCCAACCCCAAAACTTGTGTCTCGCGGACTGGTGTCTTTGGGCACGGAGAAGGAGCTCGCCATTGTTGGCATTGTTGCTGCATACATGCACAGGAACAAATGATCTACATCACTTTCCTATCGGCTTTGGCTTGAGTGTAGAAGGATAATCGCAGAGCTGAGAAAAGGCAAACAAGATGTGCCAGGCCAACACCAGCTTGAACTGGGTTGCTGGAAAAACCAACTGCTTTACCTGTTAAAGGGTGTCCCTTGGTGAGGCCCGACGTGGACTTCCTCGGTATGAACTGCCTCTGATTTCCAAAAAGGCGTTGCCCCCCCCCTCCCCCCTGCAGGCCCATATTTGGATTGCAGATTCTTCCGGAAGACAGAGTCATGAGAAAGACCCACCTGACATTATCACTGCGGCCCAACCAAACACCCAAAAATCGAAGGACAACCCACCCAACCCCAAAAATAAACGAGTTTCCGAACAGAAAACCCACCCAACCCAAAAACCCGAAAAACACTGGGAAAACCATCCCAGGGGCTTCGGACACCCACTGAAATCTGGGTGAGCTGTGGCCCCGGACTTGTAGAAGCCCCCAATCTTGCCAAAGGGCTTCGGCCCTCGGCCAGCGAGCGAAGGGCGCTAGCCCCACCGAACAACCTCCGAACATGCGCCTAACTGGTTGGGCTAGGTGAAGAACTTGCTTCAGCATACGTATTGCACATCTATATAAAATTATCTATATTTAAATATGTAAATTCCACAACACTTCCAAATTCTGAAAGAAGGTATGCCCAAGTAAAGCACCTAATCGGTGAGCACGCCGATTAGAAAGAGGCAAACATGTATTTGTCATGATGCCCACGTTTGCCAAAAGTTGGAAAAGGCTTCAGAAGTTTCAGTGGCTTCCCGAGCCTCTATGGGTATTGGGCCTCCGTCCTTGACAAAAGTCTTGTGGTTCAATGCAAGTGGCGAGGCTGATGTGCCCGTTCAGAGTATAGACAACTCCAGGTACCGTTGTGCAAAGCTTGTTTCCAGGACTCAAATGTATTTCCATGGATCGCGCAGTTTCCATGAATTTAATGGAGCAGACATATCTTATGTCGGTCCCTATTCTTGAAAATCCCACCAGAGGTTCGAAAAAAACATGGGGTCACGATTCAACAGCGTAGAAGCTTTCAAAGGGCTATGGACATAGGTGTCCTTTTCGGAAAACATAGATGGGTTTCCCTGGTAGATGATTGAACCACCAGGTAAACCAGGAATCGAAACCCATCTTATTGCTTCAGCAACCACAAAGGACGCCTATGGCTACGGATGTCAATCTCAGTTGGCCAAAGGACCTGCAACTATAAGGTGATCACCTTTTGGGCCATGACTAAATATGGGAACCCAAAATGCGAAAACCAAAAGGTCAGTCAAAAGGTCCGCTTTGAACAACTAAGCAATCTTTCAATTAAACCAGGAATCACCCTCTATTCTTCAACCAGATCAACTAAAAAGGACACCTATGGGTATGTGTTTAGTTGCCGGGTATGTTTTTCTTTGGGTTTCAGCAACCAAAAAGGACGCCTATGTATGGCTATGGATGTCAATCTTTCGATTGCCTATGGCTATGGATTTCTGAGAGCCCTGTGACGACATGTCCAGCAGTGAAATCGATTCTCCTTGCCAACAAGGGAAAATAACAAAAAATAGCCATATCAGCAAATGGAGGTAGGGGGTTCGTCCAGTAGAAAAGTGGGGCTGACCGCGTTTGGACGAAACAACACCTTTTATTAAAATTGGACGGGCCTGCGAATCCGGGGACCACATTTTCCTCCTCTCCGCTAAGACGCAACTCAATTTTGGACAGGAGACTAGTCTTCCAGGACTCCTTCCGACCACCCATCCGAAGATTCCGAGGGCTCCATAAACCCGATTCAAGCATCTTCTCTGTTTGGGCGAGTTTTTGGCACCAAATTGAAAGCGGTTGGGAAATCAGAGGCCACTCAGTTTGTGAGCTCCTACATAATGAGACAAATCCTCTATTGTTGGCCAGGTCTGTTTTTCGGCTCCCTAAAAATTAGCTAGCCAAAGGAAGAGGAGAACTCAACAGCATGGGCGTTCAGAACAGCGACGCCTTGATTCTTCGCCTCTGGGAGAAGCACCCTTGTAGTCCAGGTCGAATTTTGCAGCCAGTCAAACCTGTGAAGTGGGTGTGTCTGGTCTATCTTTTCGAGGCTGCCCTTAAAGGGGGGCCCGGTTGCCTCCGAGTTTGAGAACACCAATTGCAGGTTCATGGCCAGTGAGTCATCCTCAAAAGGAGCCCAGATCACTTTTTGGGGCCATGACTAAACGGGCCAACAAGGACAAAGGCCGAAGAGTCGAAAGGTCGATTCGCTTCGGGCCAGTGAAGGGAGTGAACGAACACCACCGGTAAAACCAAACTCGTGGGGTGACCCAAACAAGACGACGCCACCGTCTCCCTGCCCCGATCCTCCCGATCCGGCCTCCCACCAAGCCCAGCTTCTCCGGGTCGTAGCTGTGAAGCCTCAGTCCCGGAAACGGGGAATTCCAGGTCAAAAAGGCAAACCGCGTCCAACCTATGGTCCTCCCCCTTGTTGGGTGGGCGTTTGGCTATGTACCAAGAGAGAGAGAGAGAGAAAGAGAGAGAGAGAGATAATACATATATATATATATATACTTCTTTCAGATCCCCCAAGTATCGAAATCCCAGCATTCATCACATAAAATATGGCTGTGGGTCAAAAACGCGGTGACAACGCCCGTAACGCACCCTGCGTTTTCAGCAACTCACCCCAGCCGCGAAAACCTCAAAACGTGATTTCGCCTAGGCGAAACGCTCGTTGCCTGCCACAAAACATGTTCCGGATGCCTTAAATCCTCCACGACGGTGTTGTCGTTTTGGACCTGACATGCGTTTCGCCAGGGCGAAATCACGTTGTTTATTCTTCTTTTTGCAAGAAGCAGGAAAGCGAAACTTCGTGTTTTCGCAAAGCTTTCATAGATCACATGCACAGCTTGCCAGCTGCTGATACAGTGCCGAACGCGGTCACTTGAGCGGGCGCGCTTATCATTTGGCAGGGCGCGCATACAGTGCTCAGCGGGGTCGCTTGAGCGAGTATGCTTATCATTTGGCAGGGAGTGGGTACAGTGCTGAGCGGGGTCACTTGAGCGGGTGTGCTTATGATTTGGCACACCTGTCCGAACCCTGCGAACAAACGTACCTGTGAATGTCAAAATTGGCTAAACATGTAAAATGTCAAAAAAGGCTAACAAAAACGCAGGGTACGGTCTGGGCGTCCTCACCAAAACCATGTAGCAAAATGGCACCTTGGTAAATGGCACCAAAGACTCAAACCTGCGCAACCCTAGCTCTTTTTCTTGTGAGTATCTTACCCTAAGCCTCCGATTTATCGATCCGTATTTTGAGGCCCCCCCTATCATGAATCTGAATACGACCCTTCGACCCTTAGGATCAGATCTCGATCCAGTTGACCCATCACTAACCAAAAAAACAAGGACAAGCCCCGATTCAAAGAATGCTGACCCAGTAATACCCCCCCTAAGTGCCCGGTTTTCCATGGGATTCGTCATCCAGGGTAAGTACTCAAACCATTTAAGCAGAAACTACTTGGTGTAGTGCCACCACTCCATTTTCCTGATGTTTCATAAATATGACACCAGAAGAGTTAACATACTCTGGACAAATGACATTCATTTTGCACCAGTTGGAAACCATGCTTGAAACAACCAGCACAATCATCCGAAACCAGGGTGTCCATCCATAGTGACCCCGGAACAGTGCAAAAGGTCAACATCGCTCCTTGGGATTCAACAATTAGACCTTCAAACAACAGCCCAACCTTTTGACACCTTGACTAAATATGGACCAAATCGGGGAAACCAAGAGGTCAAAAACGATCAACGCGCTTTGGGCTTGCGTGATACATATAGGTCCACCTGGCTATTGGAATCTACTCGGCTCAGGACTGAAAGTTATCTCCGGTTGAGGGGAGCCTGGGCTTCCATGTGCGGAAATCGTCCCCGGGAAAAAATGAAAGAATGTCCAGTAGTGAAATCGACTTCTTTAAAACCAACAAGGAAAACTACAAACACATATTCTTAAGCAAATGGAAGTGGAGCAAAACTGGGACTTGAATCCACCAACTCTCAGCTGCCAGTTGCATTGGTCCGCCCGGTGAAAGAAACTTGATCCCAGCGGCTTCGCGAGGCTCTGCACGATGGAGCTCATCACAGGTCGGCGTTGCTCCTTGCTGAAACGCTGGATAAAACAATATCCCCGTGGGCCCCCGTTCGTTCCTGTTGGTTTTCCTGTTGGCCTTCCTTAAAAAACACCGAAAAGGGGTACCCTCACAAAAGACAGACCCATATAGTGTTGACCCCATATTCATCAACCAACCAGCTTATTAAACTTAGGAGGTGGTTTCTGGCCCGCAAAAGTGGTCTGATTCCCCACAGTTTACCCGGGGAAAAGCACCCCTTGATAAACTGGGGTTGATTGATATGGGGTCAACCTTAATAAAACACAGATCCCCTGTGGGCCCCCCGCGCTGCTTGTCTAAGGGGCACGAAAAGGGAACGCAACCACCCGGATGGGTCTGCAATATCAAGGGGGAAAAAAACAAGGCCTCATGCAAACCCCAGCCAAATGGTCTGGGGAAAATAAAGGGACCCCGTCAAAACCCGAATGGTATGGGCTTGCAAAATACTGACTAGACCCCGAAAAACCAACAAACTTGCCAAGAACAGTGAAGGGACCGGTACCTATTTGGAAAGACAGGCAGTTCTGCTTTGGGAGTTGAATTCACGCCCCAACAACCCGACAACCTCCTGAACCCTCCAGCACCCGGACTAAGCGTTCAGCTGTTGGAGAAAAGAGGATTACTGGGTCAGGTTGGCCCATTTTTCCTCCTTCTAGGCAGGCAACGCCTTGATGGTCCGCAACCAACATCCAACAAAAGCTAGGGAATCAGCTGAACAACTCAAGAGCTCTCAGAACCCACCTGTATAGCCTTACTATAAACCATAGCAGTTACATCACCCGGACAACAAACTCAGTCAGGCCTATTCTCAAGCTTTATGCAGCCAACACGCAAAAAGTCCAACAGCAAGTTGAGCGCGGATACGGTGACTTCTCTAACCATTGCAAGCAAACAACCACGAACCATCGTGAGTTGCTATTGCCTGGTTCCATATCAACATTTCGGCTTGTGGCGCTGGGGCGCCCTCTAAGGGTAGTTTGAGGGTCCAGGTGCAGGCCTGGGGGAGCTTCAGGAGCCCGTTGTCTGCAATCTGCCCCTGACGTCGGGCGGCAAAAGGAATCTGTCCACTAAAATCTCAGTCGCCCCCTACAAAGCCCAGAAATAAAAGGTGATCACCTTTCATCTCCATAAAACATGGGCGCAACATGGCAAAACAAACGGTCAAAAGGTCGGCTTTGAGCAAGTGAGAAATATATCAAAGTAGGGGACCCCCACCCTTTGGTTGCTTGTTGACCCCTTGACTGGGTCCAATGGACAATCCAATGGAACATCAACTTTTGTGGGCCCGCTAAAATGCATCGTCTCCTGTGAAATCAATTCCTTTTAAACCAACAGGGGGTTTTGTGTTAAAAAAAGGTCGCAACCCCAACTGGTTTTGTGTTCAGGATCCTGTCTGGGCTTCCCATTTTCGACAACCCTCCGGTTGCGAATATGCACCTGGACACAAATATGTCCAGTAGGGACAGATTCAAAACCAACATGGGACTATCAAACGTATCCATTTCAGCGAATGGCAGGCACCTGCTCGCTCTCCTCCACAAGCACTCTGTCCTACCAAGAGGTTTTCTTGGAGTGCCGATAGAAGGCACCATCAGCACAACAGCCGAAATGGGACATGCTTCTTGAGAGAACACCGCGCTTTGCGGGAGGACTGACAGTGGCGCTAGCTTGTGGGGAGGCAGCCTTCAGTGAGTAAACTAAAGTTCCTCCGCTGCAAGTTGTTTAACATGGGGCCTAAAAACCATCGTTTGTGAAGAAATCTCCTTTTGTGGCATCCCTCTTGAGGTTCCATGTCAACGCGCACATGTTCCATCCCTTTTAACATCACCCCAGCCATAGAAAACTGACTCAGCATTGGATAGAAATGCCAAATGGCAAACCTTGAACCAGAAGTCATGTGGTTGCTAATTATTGATCACCAAGTAGTAGCGTTTTCGTTGGATTCATTGGGCGCACCATGGGAAAACATCTGAAGGCGGCTAGTCACACGGCCACTCGAGTCAACCCATTCCACCGATTCCGCCGCATTCTACAGTTTCTACAGAGGGGGGACCTAACTTCTTCCATGTGCTGGAAAAATGTTGGCACATATCTGTCCAGTGAGGTTCATTCCTTAAAACACCAAGCGGAACGGGGAAAAACACATTGATTCAGCAAATGGAAGACTCGTCCCTGGGGTTCGGTTCTCACCAGAAAAGCAATGGTTGGGTTCACAGGCCCACCATTGTTTACCATCCAAAATGGGCCCTGCCAACCAAAAAAGGCCAGCCACTCCGCTCCCTCCACACCCTTCAGCCTGCACGAAGGACATGATGTAGAAGGGGGTGCCGATCACCTGCAGCCAACAACCTCTACCCACTCGAGTTAATTCTCATAAGTCACGTGGGGTATAATCCACTTATGTTCCCGTAAGTGGGGTTAGCCTTGTTATTAGTAGGTCATACCCAGGTTACTCACCACTTATCAACTTGGCCGACCGTCACCTATGTACTTGGCTGGAAGTAGGACCCCAGCCAAACAAATTTGTTGTTTGCCTGCTACCCATTAAAAAAACAACACATGTGTGGCTCCCCTTTTTTAAGCGTAGCTTGAGGATCCAGGTATACTTAATACGCCCCGACGTGATCTCACACCCACGGACCCACATCTCACTCCACCGCTTGGCACATCGCTCACCCCACAACAGCCGGATCTCACCCCGCAAGCAAAGCCTACTGGCACACCGCATCAAACGTGTTTATGTTGCAACTGCCTTGTCCGGCGCGTTCGCGCCTATGCGTATTCACATTAGCCACTACTTGTCTGAGCTATGTTGCGAGCTTAAAAATTGTTCGAGTCGTGTCCACAAAACGCTTGGCACACCACAATTCACCAACATGCTCTGCAACTGCAGCGCACGTTGCTGAGTTCTTTGTTCAAATCCACCCCTATGCGTTTATAAGCAACAATCTTCCAACAACAGCTGACAACGCTCAACAAGCACTTCCCCCATGGCGCACCGAGTTTCCCCAGCGTTTCAAACAACATAAGCCCAGGTGCACCCCCAACAGTTCGGGGGCTGGTTTGCGCCTATGTGTCTTCACAGAATCATGTCCAAACGCATGCGCTGTGTCTTTCCTTTCCCTTTCTCTTTCTCTGTTGCGCCCCTGCCACGAAATCTGCTTCTGAAAGCTCTGCGCTTGCCACAAGACCTGGCCTTTTGGAAGCACTGTGCCTGTCACGAAATCCGTGCCTGACCCGAAAGTGCCGCACCTGCCACGAAGCCTTGCGACAAAGGTGTTCTAGCCAGCCAATTTAACGAGGTCTAAGCGAGGTCTCAACGAGGTCAAGGCGAGGTGCTCTGGCCAGCACGGTCTGTTCGGACGCAAAATCTTTCATTGGGCGTGCAGCACCAAAAAAAAACACGACACCCGCAGAAAGTCAAAATTTACCTTACTTTACCCCCCACACACGCAAAAAAACCCAACCATGTGTTAGTCAAGTTAACCTTCGCCAGAGGCCAGTGTGCCATTGCGTTTTGTGACGGGGGTGTGCCTTCAACAGCGCCCCTTCCGATCCGCCATGGCACACAAGACCCTTGGCTTTGGGCGCGGCGGGAGCTGGGGGAGGACGTGCAACGTGAGCAACATCTAAGTGAAACGAGTGTGCCCATGCGATTTGTTTCAAAAAGTGGTGTGGCAGTTTCCCTTGTTTAAGGGCAGTTTGAGGGTTCAGGTATTCATTTCAGCAAGATGTGGTAAGTTCCTTCCAAAGGGCCGCCTTAGCTCTGAGCGGAAGTCCGCAAGCTTAAAGAAGGTTTGGCCCTACGAATCCCAGGCTCGTATGGGGAACTTCTTTTAAAATGACCCCGAACTTTCCGAAACCTGAAGGAAACTCAATCTGGGTGAATTATAGAAGGAAGTTCGAGATGACCCCCGAACTGTCCAAAACCCCAAGGAAACTCAAGAACCGTCCGATCGCAACCAAAGAGCGAGCGAAGAAGCGCCTGCGGATCTTCGCAGAGCACGTGGACCTGTGGAACCTCGTACCCCGCCTGGCGCGGTATACGCAAGCAGCATGGCGTTCGGCTTTTGGCGGTTACAAATAGAAAGCTGGAAAATCCCCCTCCTCACACCCAATGGCTACTTTTTGGGGCAGTACTTTGGGTTTTGGGCATGGGACGAGAAACTTCTTGGGGGTGACTAACATAATTAGGCCTGGGGTAGTTGCCTAGCTTCCTCCATTTAAGTCCCCTGGACGAAACTAGTTCCGGAACCAACAGGTAAAAATAACAAGTATTAACCAAATGGAAGGATTTGAACTAGGTACAAGTTGAAAACATGGGCGTTGTGTGATCCACGGCAATTTTGTTGCAATGTCTGGGGAATGAAAGAAAGACAAGCCAAGCAGGAAAGGTTTCTACAACCTTTGTAGGGTTGGGGATCCCATTCGGGGGGGTAGTCACGACGAAAAATCCCTAAGGCTCCCTGGAACTCTAGGGCTCCCAACTTCCCAACAATAGGTTCCTTAAATTTCCTTAGGGTTCCTTAGAGTTCTTAGGGTTCCTTGGGCAGCCAGCCGCAGGTACTCATCCCTGCTACCTACCCCCTGAATGGGATTCCAGGATTCGAATCGAGAAGCAACATCTGAAAACCCTTCGCGCTAACTTTGGAGAATAGATGTGTCCTTTTTTGGGAATCGGACGCCTCCAATAAATGGTTTGTTGATTCCTGCACACTAAGGGTTTCCGTTTAACCCCCCCCCCCGAAGAAAAAACAAAAGACTGCGGCAGTGCATTTGTGGTGTCTGTGTGTCAATAACAAGAAAAGCCGAAAGAGCCAAACACAACTCGCAACCAGGTTTTGTCCATTGGATCAAGCCGGCCCAAACGACAAGACACACACGCACACAAACCCAGGAAAACCCCTCCAAAAAAAACGGCACATTCTCCCAGAACTCCTTGGCACGGCTACCATGGTGCAGAAGCAGTGTCTGAGGAAGTCTTTTGTCGCTTGAGATTTACGGCGCTGACAATGGGAAGCCCAAAAAGAAGCGAAAAAGGTGAGTTCACCCAAAGTGTCATGACACCTCCAATGCAGACCCCGGGCCTTTTACCGGAAGAAGCCCGACCCCTCTAAGCCGGAGCCCAAAAACCGTCGCGACCCGGCCGAGTTGCTTTGGGCTCGAGGAAACCTACGGTTGTCACTGGAATCTGCCAGAAAGGCGCCCATGGGTAAGTCTCCCATGGGCCTTCGCCCAAATGGAAAAAACCAAAAACCACCTCCGGCCCTTGAGCAATGGAGGCCCGTTGTCCAACAAGGTGGGGGAGATCCGTGATCTTTTCCTTTTGGGGTCAAATCCAGGGGCCCTCCTTTTCTCACAAAATCTCCGGACCGCGGATCCAGCAAAGCAAGCCGCGGCACGGGTCGCGCCGGACTTTGGGGAAAATGTGACCGTTGCTTGGTTGATGTTTGACGTTGGCAGGGGAGCAAAAAATCATTGTTTAGCAGTTAAGCGGTTGAATTTCAACCACTCAACCACAACAAGCAAAAATGGGAAAAATGTTTCCCAACAACAACCATGCGAATAATTCCCCTCAAAACTTCCTTTACTTAAAAAAAAAAGTTTACCCCCCCCTTCCCTGAAGTGTCGGACTTTGGGAAAATGCGACCGTCGCCATGGCAGGTCTTTGAAACGTCGAGCCCCGGCCTCGCCCAAGGCTTTCATCACGCGGAACTCCCGGTCCACTGCGTGCGCCCCGCGGATGACCTTGCCTCTCAGGTGTCGATCAATCAAGCGGAACGCTGGCAAGAAGATCTGGCCCCATTACCCTCCCACCAGCTAACCTGGAAGTGCACAGACGCCTGTAGAAAGACTACTTTCCTCTTGGTTAGTTGGCCTTTTTGCACTTCCATGTTAGTTGGTGGGATGGCTTTTTACCATCAAAGTCACCCCCGTTCAGCGGTGGGTTAAGGAAAACAAGCGATTCCATTTTCTGACTTTGATCACCCATCCAGAAACAGTCAAAATAATGACCCCAAAAGATACTGGGATGTTCGTTGCTCGAAATTCGTAAGTTGTGAAGGTCAGCGTTCGGTTTTTCACGCCACGTACAAAGGGGTGGCACTTGGCCGCACGCCAAAGCTTTGCCAAATCGAATTCGAAGCGCAGAAATTTCTTGGCACTTGTGGGACATGAGAACGTGCGAAACCCGTCCTCCCCAATAACCATATCCATTGCTCAGATCCTCCATGATAGGTCCCCTGGAAAAATGAGCAAATAGATGTCCAGTAGTCAATTCGATTCCCTCTAAAACCAACAAGGGAGATTAAAACATATTCTTTCCTGAGTTGATGGTCCAAAAAAGTCCAACTAACATGGTCCAAATCCAAAACAATTGAAATCCGGGAACTCACATGGCGAGTCAAAAATAGGGCAACCCAAAAATGAAACCTTGGTAAATGGAACCTTCAGGAGAACCTGCGGTCCATATCCGGGTTTCACTTTGACCAGCCACACTTCAGCAAATGGGTCAACACCCCGTACCCCAAGTGAACATCCCCATCCCCACTAAATAGGTTCTAAAATGGCGGGTGAACTCACCTACCGACCAAAATGGTACCATTGGTGTTGACAACCACGGCCATTTCGGCAAAAGGAAGATTTGCCACGCCATCTTTGTCATTCAGACGACTCCGGCCTGGCGGCTGCTTGCGAAGCACATACCTGGCATCGGGCGCCGTGGAGTCTTGGAGGGGCTTCCTGCCTCGGGACGCCTAAGGAGCCACCTGAATCCTCAAATTGCTCATAAAAAGACTGCGGGGTCTTGCAACCCAAAATTATGGTTGGCGGTGTCCTTCTTTTTGAGGGGTGTAGAAATCAAAGGTTCACCTTTGGGGGCCATGACGAATGGGCCAAAAAGGATAAACCAAAAGGTCCATCCGCTTTGGCCAAGTGAGCTACCACAAACATCCATCCGGTCAGAAGAAGCTGTCATGGCCCCCCAAGTGGCGTCAGCTTTCCTTTTGGTGTCCTTTTAACCCAGACAAAAAGCGGACCAACCCTCCAAGAAGGGCGCAACCCCTTTTGTGCCGCCGAAAAAGTCGAGCCACCCAAATGTCAAGTCCTTTCACAACTTTCCTTACGGGGGACACGGCGTAGCAACCGCTGTGCCCATCTCCTCCCGACGCCTCGAGGCTTCCACTCGCCCCCACTAAGCCCCACAGATTCCGTGGGAGAAACAGCATAAAGGGTACATACACCGCAGGCCAAGGAAGGGGTATGAAATGGACCTCAAACCATCTGTGTTGCTAGAAGCTGTCTAGAAGTCTCGCATAAAGTGTTACAAGTGTCTTTTCCGTCCATTTGGTTATGTCCAGTAGTGATAAATTAACTTTAAAACAAAGGAATATTCCTCAGCAAATAGAGTTTCAGTCACCTGCTGAAGCCAATACAAACATGTAAGACGAGCGTTGATGCGCATGCCCCAACTCACCCGAGCCTCTGCCCCGCTGCCTCCAGGAAGTAGGTGGGATTCGACCTTTGGCCGGGAAACTCGGATCCCAATCAGATATGCATGCGTGTGTCTTGTTTTGAGGGGGGAGCACCGCGATCTTAATAAGGGTCCCCGAAAGAAAAACAACTGGAAGACGGGTAGCCCTGAAAGCATCAACCAATCCCCGCATCCACTCGTCGGGCTAGATGGGCATGGTAGTACCCGTGGCGCCTGAGCAAGAGTGTCTTTTCTTTGGGGGGAGTACACCACTTGTTTTGTCGATTTTGGACGGAAACCATCAGGAGCCCCACAATTTTAAGGGTCCCCGAAAAGGAAAAAGACGAGGCGCCCAGATGGGCACCTATTGTGGGGTTGTTTTTACAACCAGATCCGATGCGCACGGAGCCCGGGGTCGACACATTTTGTCGGGCCCTAAGGCCCCTAGGCCACCCGAAAAAGTGCTTTGCCGAGCTCGGGACACACCTCCTTTAGGCTGGAAACCTCGCCCCTGGGGTTCCTTGCCCCCATCACAAGAGAGGTAAGGACCCCATTTGGATGATGACAATCCTTAGGTCAACATTATGGAGGAAACCCGCGAACAGTTTGCAGACATGCATACATTTCAGCGCGCGGGGTCGTGGGAAGCTTACTGCGCTTCCCCGTGTGGGGCAAAAGACTGCTGGAAGCATCTAACGCCCCACTCGCATGACCAGCAGAAGGTTGCTCCAGGTGTTGTCAGAGCAGCCGACGCATGTGTACATACATGAAGTGACAGACTGCGCGTCCTTTCTCGCGTTCCGCTTCCTTGCGCTAAAAATCGCTTGCTCAAGCTCCAAAAAAATGAGGTATCAGCCAAAATCACTCCACTGCCAGGTAGTTCAAATACAACGTGCAGACAAGTGTGATTGCGATTTTGCGCCAACGTCGAGGAGGCATCGGTACACAATCTTACAAAGGCCGAGACTGGTCCGACACGGAAACCCTTGGACATGTCGAGGGTGTCCCCCGTATCCCTCCACTCTCGGCTGTAAGCGTATAATGATTTGGTCATAAGGCAGACAGAGGCAGACCGTAATGTCTTATCACTTTGTGCTCCTCTTGGATATTTTTCTCTGGGTCAGAAATGCGCTCTGATTGGTGCAAAGCAACATGCGGACGCACTTGTGGTTGGTGCAACACATGAACACCGCGCGCCGTACGTCGAAGCAGAAAGCCGTTGCAAAAGCGCGCATATGCACTTCGAGAACCAACCAACACTTCACCTGATTGATCTCTTTTCTGGGCTGTCCTCAGATCCCCCGCTAACAGTTTAGCTTCTAGTGAGATAAATGGTAACCCCCACAAAACCAACCAAAAACAACCAAAAGCCTAAGTTGAGCCGGACGATTCGCTGGAAACCCGAACCGCCAAGTCTTGGCCAGTCACATTGCACGGAGATCCCCACGTGACCCACTCCGCTGGGCTCCGCTGGGCTGCTGGGCTGGCCATACCCGAACTTCCGCACCAGCAGCTCATCGAACCCCAGGCCCTCCAATCGAGTCGCGAGTCGCGAGTCGAGCACCTCCGAAGCTGATGCCCTGACCAACCCCGAACCACCCAACGCCCTGTTGCCAGGCTGTGATTTGCGACCCCTTGAGAAAGCAAGACAGCAGTTATCATATTGGAGAACCTGGTTCTTCAAAAAGAATACACATGTGAAAAGGAAGATATGATGAGTCCAACAATAATACCTACGGTTCCGAGCGGGTCTGAACAAAGGACCACACACCACACACCAAAAGGTGTTTGGATCTTCAAAGCAACAAATATATTATCAAAGGTTGCCAGTTGCTTCCCTTTACCATCCAGAAGGGGACCCAACACATCTGTATAGACTGTTTGTTTTGTGCCTTTCGCCTATGCCATCCCTTGCCATCCCGTACCCTTTTTCCGAACGAACCTGATACTGCACGGGGTTGGTAGTTCACCAGGCTTGCTGGCATGGTGCGAAATGGATGCCCTTTCCCTTTGAGACCGATCTTGGACTTGGTTTTTAACCCCCCCCCCGCCCCAAAGCTCCGAGCCCCTCGCACTTGGCGCGCCGCGAGGCCCAAGACCGGCGAAGTGGGCCCCGCCTCCTGCCGCAGAAACCGCGCCAGCGACGCCTCGTCGAAGCGCAGCCGCGCCTTCCAAAAGGCGACTCCGGGACTCTGGGAGCCAGGGACCGCCTTCCCATTTGGCTATGGATGTCAAAACCGTTTTGGTTGATCCCATTTTGGTTGGTCCCGGTGACCATTTAAGTCGGGATTTTATTTTAGGGGGAATTGGGATGTTCACTCGCGGTATGGGATTTTGACCCATGGCCATATCTAAACCCTGAGAATTCACTTAAAGAGCACTTTGTTGCCGTAAAATGATGGGGTGCATGCATTTGATGATTGTTTTGGGAGGGAGGTTGAGGGTTCAAGTCCCGCTTTTTGAGGTGTTGAAGGGAAGCCAAAAGGAAAAACGTTGCGCCACGTTGGGCGTCAAAGGAACCACACCCATATCAGCTGCTTGAGCTTTCATCTCCCAACCAGCCCCGCCCACATGTTACGTCCATGTTCCCCCTTCACGGGTCCCTGCCTCGGATGCCGATGCGTCATATGTGTTTAGACGGCCAAGCGCCCCACCCACTCGCAACTCAAAACAACATCCCCACCTTCTAAGGCAAGATGTTAGGTTCAAAACCTGGCCTTTTCTATGGCAGCCTCTCAAAACCCGTGCCTCCATGGCGCTGAAGTCGAAAATAACCAGAAACCATCAGAAAACCCTAAAACCTACCTAGGGTCTCCTTCAGAGCCTTTAAAAAATGGATGGTTATTGCACATAAGAAGGGGTCACCAACCAGAACCTGGAACCCCAAAAGACCAAATCTAAATAGTCGTCCAGAAGTGGGACATGTGAGAACGGGCGTTTGCTCCAAACACGGCCGTTTCAGGAGAGTCGGATGACTGAATTAAGTTTCAATATTTTGTGCGGCGCTTCAGCCGCAGCCCCTTTTCTGCGAACGCTCAAGGAATAACGCAAAAGCTTTCCTGCGTCCAGTTGTTTTAAAAGTCTAGGAACCCATGATCGATGGCGCATGCCAGCTTTCGAAAGCGTACCAGGGTTCGACTGATCCAACAATTGTCCAATTCAAAGCTCTTTAAAATTTGATTTGAAGCTCTCTTGGCCTTTTTCCTCGCAAGCAAACAATTCTGCCATTTGATACGCAGCCTGCTCTCGAATAATGCTTCGAAGGCAACATATTGTTCGAAAGCCCCTTTTCGGAAACATCGAAAAAGCCTCTTTGGAACCCCTTTCGAAAGCAACCTTTCGAAAGCCCCTTTCAAACCCCCTCTTTCAAAAGCCTCCATTTGAAAGACCCCTTTGAAAGCCTATTTCGAACTTTCGAACCCCCTTTCGAAAGCCACCTTTCGAAAGCGACCGGGCAAAATTGGATTCGATGCCGATCAAACACAGATTGAGATCCGAAAAAAACGCGGCTTTTTGAATCTGGCCGTTTGCATGGGTAAGAATGGGCGTTGCACGGGTAAGAATGGGCGTTGCACGGGTAAGAATGGGCGTTGCACGGGTAAGAATGGGCGTTGCACGGGTAAGAACAGTTGTTTCCCAACAAAAACGGTGATTGGCCAATCAACCTGAGCTCGAATGCGACAGACCCAGGATGGTTCGATCGAAATACGTTCTTCGAATACGCAGCGTTCAGGTATGCATCTGTACCAATCGAAAAAGGGCAGTTCTTTATTTTATGCGTGGGACCCTTTCAACATCCAGAATCTAAAAGCCGAAGCTGTCCTACTTAGGCCAACTATAGCTGACTGCAATCGTTTTTGCTTTTTTTTTTTGTGGTGTCCCAAAGTACGTGTTTTCTAAGCCGCGTGTTTTGGGACAACAGTAAATTTGCTCATTTTGGGTACAAGCCCTGCGGTTCACTATTTCAGTGCAACGTTGGCATGACTTTTGCGTGCGAGCATTGAAGAAGACACTTTGCATGGGCCGTTTACCAAATATGATTCTTTTCGGTTCGCAGTTTTAGCATTGAAGAATCTTTGGTCCCCACACAGAAGGAACCTATGCGCGTCATCCATATTGGCAAACACATGGCGACAAACTGAGGTTTCTCGCTTCTTTTGTTGTGCTCTTAATTTGTCATATATATGGACTTACTATTCTTGCTTAGGCTGGGCTGCAAGTCATTTTACCGGCTGTGAGTACATCCCTGCCATGCAGATTCTGCTGCTTTCCTGTCAGCCACCCTGGCCCGGCCAGTTTCGGGCGAAGTGAGTCAAGAACGGCCGTGAGACAAAGCAACCATTTATTTTTAGTCGTTTCAGGCCCCAGGAAGGAGACCCTCACCTAAAAACCTCTTGGAGGGCCGAGCACCAAGAAAAAGCTTCACCAGTTTTAGGGGGGAAACTCAAAATTATACTCCCTACAAGCCCAAGACCCTAAATATGAGGGCCTTGAACGCCCCCAAGGCCTCGTTATTTGAGGTCTTGGGCTGCTAGAGAATGCTATTTTTATGTAACAATATTTGTCTGAATCTATAGCCGGGAAACTGAAAGGTGACTCGTCGATCAGTGGATTCGCTTTAGAGATCCGGAAGTTTCGAAGGGAGCCGCAGTGTGGACCCTCGCTGAAGGTCCCTTATAGTTGAAACTCACCTGGGTGGCTCGAGAATGACCACTTTTGGAGGGAACACGCGTTTAATTCAGAATAGGATGCGTTTAATTCATGGGGGTTCCCAGCATGTGGCACGCAGGGGTGTCTTTTTCAGGCGAAACCCAGCAAATGGCTGGCTTCCTTTTGGTCTCCCTTTAACAGCAATTTGTGGGGGGGTTCTCCAAGAAGAGACACGCCCCATTTTGGGCCGTCTTCTTCTTCGAGTAATTCTCGAAGACGCCTGTGGGAGCCCTGGGGTTCAAACCATCATGTGACCTGAGGATCTTCATCGTCCACATTGGGTCCTTAGCTTTCTTTTAAATTGGGGTTGAACCCCAGAAAACGGGCACCTGGCGGATCAACTTCCTTAAGGGAACCAAAGTTTGGAGGCTTGCCCAAGCTACCCAGCCGATCCATCCGAGCCCGGCCTCCACTTCCACCGTGTTTTGGCCCGGGTCCGGCATGGCTCGGAAGAGCGAGAGCCGTTCAAAGGCGCTGATGCTTTGCCTTTTTCCCGTCCGAAGAATTGGGGCCAACAAACTTGAGAGGGATCGAACCTGCGAACAGTGTCGACTTTCTCCTTCAAAAAACGATTGGAACACCAAAAGGGCATCTTGGCAAGCGATCCGTCTGGCAATGTGGAGGAAAAGTCCCCAACCAAATTGATCTAGCACGTGCATTCCTCAGCCTGGAGTCCAGATCCACTTGAGGGTGTCCCACAGATCGATCCTTGATTCCATCAGGTTGAATCTGGGCTCTAACGGGTGCCCATAAGGGAGCTTGAGCTTGGAAATGAACGGCAGCCCTCAAATTGCTTTGATCCCAAAGGAATCGAGTTTTCAACAAAAATCTCAAAAAGAATCAACCAAAGGGTGTCTACTCAAAATTCATGATCAAATCCCAAGGTTGCAACCCTCGTTGAACTTGCTGCTATGAGATGTCTCACCCGTACACGTGTAGTTCTGACGGGATCGGTGTTGGGCATTGGGGATCGCCACAAATTAGCTGAGCCCCTATGAGCCAAGACAGTGGGACCATCAAATCGGGCAAAGTCTGATGCACACACAAGGCTCCGTCAGATGCTGGTTTCCCTTTGGTTTTGCTTAAACATGAGCTCAAAACCAGCACCCTCCAAAGTTTCCCCTCCCGAACTATTATTAAAGAGTCACACATCACCCAAAATCAAAGGCTGATGGTATAGGTCCATATAATCCCATGGCGATCTTGGACCCTTTCAAGCCTGATTTCCCTTCATTAAGCCATAACGAACGGTGAATTAACCGATAAACTATACCATACCAAGGGTTCATATACGGGCGTATAATATACATTCAGCCTTTGACAGAATCTTATGGAATATTGCCAAGGGGGTGGTGGCCACAAGAGGGGGTGCGTAGTTGAGAGCCCAGAACCGGGTTCCTTAGCTCAGTTGTTCAGTGACCCTGGAAAAAAAAGAATTGGACCCCGTTTTTGGGGCTTGGACCATTTTAGTGGGGCAGCCACCAAAAAAAAGGGGGAAAAGAATTGGAGCCACATGAACAACTGAGTTCGGGTTCCCGAAACGGGCTCCGAAACGGGAGTTCCACTGGCGGAAGGTTCCCTTGGACCACCCTTGCGACGTGGATTCCCGAAGCTGGAGGGGGCAAACCGCCTCGCCAGGATCGGTTGCTCACGCCTTAGGGCGACATTTCTTGCAGGGGAACAACTCCGAGCTGTCGTTTTGGTGTACTTCAGGTTTGGGAGTAATCACTTCCTTGGATTGGCCAAGAACAAGGCGACACTGATTATTTGGGTTTCTTTTTCTTGGAGGCTACCCTTCAAGGGGCGGCTTTAAAGGGACACCAAAAGGAAGCCGACCAGTTGTGGGGGGGGGTCCCCTATTTTAAGACAATTGGTTACCATTAAAATGGTCCAAACCCAAACAGGAACTCAAGTCCAGGAACTCAGTTTTTCGGGTAGGTCACTACGTGAGACTTTGAGGCTGGCCGACCCTGAATATTTGGGTGTCTTTGTTGTGGGTGCCCTTTTTGTTGGTTGTCTAAAAGGAAACTCAAAAGGACAACCACCATTTTAGAGCCCTTACAACAAATCGACGCACCCATGAACAACATTGAACAACGAGCCTCACAGTGTTCAGCCAGCATGAACTGCTTTCTGGATAGGGAAAAGCAGTCTAGGTCCTCCACAGAGGTTAGAATCAGGGTACCAACTTTTTTCTGTAGTCCATTTTAGTAGCCGAACCCTCCCAACCAAACAAGTTGGTAGAGAAGGGCACCGAGCTGGGGGACCTAGCAGTGGTTGGGTGTTGGAGAATGACGATTCGCTCCAAACCGTACCCCACATCCGGCCGGTCCCGCGGCTTGAACATAGGGCCTCCTTTGATGTCATAAAACGCGCCGCATGTGTTTTGGGTCCTCAAAAGGGTGACCATTTGGAGTCAAAAGAATTGGCCTGAACCTCCAACTACCCATTAAAATTGGATATTGCAACCCAAAATTATGGGCTGGTGTCCCTTTTTTCAGGGTAGTTTGAGGGTCCAGGAAAGCTCTGAAATCACACCAATTCCCCAAAATGATTTCAGCCTTGTTTAACGATATTTTGCGGGTCCAGGTGCTTTTAGTTGCTCTGCGATCCATTTTTTTTTGCATCAACCACTCCATTTCAAAAATCGCCAATCCGGAGCCTCGGAAGAGGCAAGAAAACGGCGGTTCAATCTGACCGCTTGCGTATTTTTCTTGAACTTGCTGGGGCTCACCGCCTCCGTTTTTGTTTTTTTTTGAGAAAGCCTGGTTTTCCACGGTAAATACCTCCTTTATTAGTAGAGGGTCGACATGATACCCTGAAAAAAGTGGGTGTTGGGTGCAGGGGGTAGGGCAATGACCGAGTCCGGGTGTTGGGAACGAACCGGATTTGGGGACTCCCGAAAAAGACAACCACCAGTTGGATTTGTTTTGTTAAATCTCGGGGTCATTCCATTTCTCCTTCCCCTATCGAAGCAGCAAGCCTTGCAGCCCAACTCAAAGTTGCACTTCCAGTCGCTTCGGGGCTCGATATTCTTTCAGTCGCCTGCGGGAAAAAGAAGATCAATCCCCACCGAAAGGGAGCACGCGTGAACAGAAACAAGGGCCGGGCCAAGTGATACGGGACATACAGGAAACCACCTTGAAACTTAACATATGTTGTCAGATTCTGGTGTTTCATATTTGGGGTGTATTTTTGGGGGACAAAGGAACATAGGGTTCCTTTTAGTTTTTCTTTCACTACCAAATAAAGTGACAAATACACCCAAACTTAGTCAACAGTATAAACAGAAATGGGGCGCCAAAAGAAATCAGCCATTTTGGGGGAATTCCGCCCCCATTTTGGGACAAACCCATTTAGCCAATATCAAAAACAGCATCTGGATATGTCTTTTCGAGGCTCGCGGTACCCTTTCGTTGTAGGGGGAACCGACAGAAAAACCGTTCACCCGCCATGTTTTGGCTCCGACTCCCCCCCCCAAAAAAAAAGAGACGCGGCTCACCCATGCGTTTGGATCGAGCAAACCCCACAAAAGTCCAACACAAACATGGCCATGGGTCAAAACCCCGTACCCCCAGTGAACATCCCAATCTCCACCAAAATAGGTTCTAAAATGGGTGGTGAATTCACCTATCCCAAAATGGGATCCCAAAACGGTTTTGACATGTTCGTTTCAGCCAATGGACGTATTTCTTGTTAAAGAACCTCACCCCCCCCAAAAGGAAGCTCCCTTCCCAAAAGAAATCGATGGGTTGCCCTGGTAGATGATCAAACCACCAGGTAAAAGAGGAATCGCCCTCTATTTGTCGACCAAAACCACCACTGGGTCCTCCAGTAGAGAGGTTAGAATCAGGGTGCCCTTTTCCTGTAGTCTATTTTAGTAGGGGAATTTCCCCTCCCAACCCAAAAAGTTGGTAGAGAAGGACACCTAGCTGGGGGACCTTAGAGAAGGGCACCTAGCTGGGGGACCTAGACCAAAAAGGACACCTCTACCTCAAATCCTGGAATGTAAATACCAACAAACTATGGCTTTTTCATGGTTTCTTACGTGGCGCCCTCGATTTTTCGAGCAAAAGAACAATAAAAGGGACACCTCTACCTCGTTGGAAGCTCTGGGCCGCGCTGAGGTGGAACTCCTCTGGCACGGTGAGCTTCAAGGAATGGTGGCCCCGGCCTCGGAAAAACGGATCGCGGATCGCCACGGCGTATCGATGGGGTGCTGTTCTAAGGTTTGGGGTCACAAGATGCAACAGAACATTATTGGAGGCTTGAAGGCACAGGTTAAAAAAAACACACTTTATAATATTAGCCCTTTTTTGGAGGCATATATATATATATATATTGTTAATCATACACAACCTGGGTCCACGAATCGGAGGGGTACCATGAGTACATATACATAATCTCCCAGAGGCTCCTGGCTCCGGCTTTCAATGGAAGACCCGATTCCGAAGCATTGGACACCCCGGGAATTGGTGGTTGGTCTTCAAAACCAGGTTGTTTGAAGGCCCTAAATCAATCGAATTGGAGCCTCTGGGTGGGTGAGATGTCGGAATCGGTGACCACTTTTGGAGGGCAACACCCCCATATTCATAAACACTTGGTTGACGTTGGGTTTGGGGAGCAAACATTCTCAAATCTTAGCAGCGAAGTGGATTTGGATTTCAAGCACTAAACCACAATAAGCAAAAATGTGCAAACTGTTTCTCAACAACAACCATGTGAATAATTCCACTCAAAACTTCCTTTACATTTAAAACATCGTGGTTGGATTTCAACCACTAAACCACAATAAGCAACAAATGGAAAACTGTTTATCAACAACAACCACGAACCTTGGATTCATCTGTCAACAAAACCTTGGGTGTTCGATTCGCCTTGGGTCAACGTAAGTTGTAACGGGTACCACCCACTTTTTTGTGCCTCTGAGTGGGGTTCACCTTGTTATACGGGGGGTACCCCAATTGGCTAACCACGTAATAAGTTGGCCGAACATCCAGGTAGACCTCGTTCCACGACTTGCCAAGAATATGGGCGAATCTAGGGCTGAATTCACACGCCCACAAATGAACGCCACATATGAATCCCTGGTTTATGGCTTCACTAACCTAGTCATGGCTACATTTTGGGGAAAACAGCTCCCAAAGGGTCCAGAATGGAGGAAATGGGGGGTCCGGCCATCCCCTTTTTGGCTCCCTCAAGTATAGGGCCGATGAACCTGCTAAACAAGACGTCCACAGGACGTACCCACCATCCGGCCGCATGCTTTGTTTCCCATGTCCCAAAACCAAAGTACTGCCCAACAGGCATCAGATGGGAGAAAGAGCCCCGAATACACCAAGCCACCGAAGGGTTCCGGAAGGTTCATTTGGTCCCTGAAAAATGGCTGCTGACATTCTCTGGGCAAAAACCAAACGCCCAAAGCAGGAGTTGCATTTTGCTT